GCAGCCTCGACCTGCTGGGCTCCGGCGATCCTTCCACCTCAGCCTTCCAAGTAGCTGGAATTACAGGCATGCGCCACCACACCCGGCTGATTTTTTGATTTATTGTAGAGATGAGGTCTCGCTGCCCAGGCGGGTCTCGAACCCGTGGGTTTCTTTTTTTATTGTAGAGATGATGTCTTGCCAAGTCTCAAACCTGTGGGCTCAGGCAGGCTCAGGCAATCCATTCACCTTGGCCTCCCAAAGTGCTGAAATTACAGGCTGAGCCACTGAGCCCAGCCATTTTCTTTCTTTTAAAAGGCTGAATATTTTATTGTATGTATATACCATATTTTGTTTACCCTTATCTGTTGGTGGACACTTCGGTTACTTCCACCTTTTGGCTATTGTGAATAATACTGCTATGAACATAAGTATACAAATATCTCTTTGAGACCCTCCTTTCGATTTTCTTGGTTATGTACCCAGAAGCAGAACTGCTGGATTTTTAATTTTTTGAAGATCCTCTGTACTGTTTTTCATAGTGGCTGCACCATCTTATATTCCCAACAATGCATGAGGATACTAATTTATCCATATCCTCACCAACATTTGTTCTTTTCTGTATTTTTGGTGGTGGCCATCCTAGTGGATGTGAAGTAGTATTTCATTGTAGTTTTGATTTCCCTAATGATGACTGATATTGAGTATCTTTTCTTTTCTTTTTTTTCTTTTTTTTTGAGTTGGAGTCTTGTCTTGTCACCCAGGCTGGAGTGCAGTGGCATACTCACGACCACCGCAGCCTCAACCTGCTGGGTTTAGGTGATCCTTACGCATCAACCTTTCGAGTAGCTGGAACTACAGATGGATGCCACCATGCATGGCTAGTTTTTTTGTGTGTGTGATTTATTGTAAAGACGAGATCCTACCAAGTTGCCCAGGCTGGTCTCGAACCCCTGGGCTCAGGCAATTCCCTCACCTAGGCCTCCCAAAGTGCTGGGATTACAGACTTGAGTATTTTTTCATGTCCTTATTAGCCATTTGTTGTTTTTGTTTGAGTCTGAATCTCATTCTGTCACCCAGGCTGGAGTATAGTGGCACAATCACAGCCACTGTAGCCTCGGCCTACAGGGCTCAGGCGATCCTTCCAACTCAGCCTTCCAAGTAGCTGGAACTACAGGTGTGTGCCACCATGCCTGACTAATTTTTTTTATTTACTGTAGAGATGAGGTCTTGCCAAGTTGCCCAGGCTGGTCTCCAACCCCTGGACTCAGGCCCTGGACTCTTGCCTCCATCTCCCAAAGTGCTGGGATTACAGGTATGAGCCATTACACCTGACCAGCATCTGTTTGTCTTTGGAGAAATATATCTATTCAACACCTTTGCTTTTTTTTTTTTGAAACAGAATCTCCCTATGTCGTCCAAGTTGGTCTTGCAGTGGGCTCAAGTGATCCTCCTGCTTTGGCCTCCCTAAGAATTGGGGTTACAGATGTCATTATACCCATCCTATTTTTAAAAATTCGTTTTGTGTTGTTGAGTTGTATGAGTTCTTTATATATTTTAGATAGTATCCCCTTCGCAGATATATGATTTGCAAATATTTCTCCTTGAAGTGACTTTTTTTTTTTTTGAGTTGGAGTCTCACTCTGTGGCTCAGGCTGGAGGGCAGTGGCATGCTCCCAGCCACTGCAGCCTTGACCTGCTGGGCTCTGGCGATCCTTCCGCCTCAGCCTTCAGAGTAGCTGGAACTACAGGCGCGTACTACCACGCCTGGCTAATTTTTTGATTTATTGTAGAGATGAGGGCTCACCAAATTGCCCAGGTGGGTCTCGAACCCGCTGGCTCAGACAATCCACTCACCTGAGCCTCCCAAAGGCGCAGGATTACAGGCTGAGACACAGAGCCTGGCTCCTGAAGCGACTTTTTTTAGAGGTGTAAATAAGAACTTAGTAAACAGCAAAACTTTTAAGTTGCACTTTTGCATTTCTAAGAGTCTTTGTTTAGCTTTTCTATACTGCTTGGTGCAGACTGGTTCATGTTTCTTATATCATATATATTCAACTATATCTCTTATCATAATAGTGCTAAACCTTACCTTCTACTTTGTTTGACATTAGTATTGCTGCCTCTGCTCTCTTTTTTTTTTTTTGAGTTGGAGTCTCGCTCTGTCACCCAGACTGGAGTGCAGTGGCCACTCTCGGCCACCACAGCCTTGACCTGCTGGGCTCCGGTGATCCTTCCGCCTCAGCCTTCCAAGTAGCTGGAACTACAGGCACGCGCTACCACGCCTGGCTAATTTTTGATTTGTTGTAGAGATGAGGTCTCGCCAAGTTGCCCAGGCGGGCCTCGAATCCGTGAGCTCAGGCAATCCGCTCACCTCAGCCTCCCAAAGCAGGGAATTATAGGCTGAGCCACCAAGCCTGGCTGCCTCTGCTCTCTTTATTTGCTTCTGCCTGGTATCTCTTTGCCAATCCCTTTATTTTTTACTTTCCTTTAGCAGTTTGAAATAAACTTTTAAAACCTGAAATAGCCGGGTGGGTGGCTCACACCTATAATCCCAGCACTTTAGGAGGCTGAGGTGAGAGGATTGCCTGAGCCCACAGGTTGGAGACCAGCCTGAGCAACTTGACGAGACCTCATCTCTACAATAAATCAAAAAATTAGCTAGGCGTGGTGGCGTGTGCCTGTAGTTTCAGCTACTTGGAAGGCTGAGGCAGAAAGATCACCTGAACCTAGCAGGTTGAGGCTATGGTGGCTGTGAGCGTGCCACTGCACTCCAGATTGGGTGACGGAGTGAGACTCTGGCTCAAAAAAAAAAAAAAAAACTGAAATAAAATGCATGAAATACAATAAAATATAACAGCATAACAAATTACTATAAAGCACACATCCATATGACCTATACCCAGATCAATAAATGTGACAGTGCCAGAATATCAGAAGACTTTTCAGCTTAGTTTTATATTTTAAGTTTCATCCACTTCTGTAAATGAGAAATTTAATGTACATTTATTTATTTTTTGTTTGTTTGTTTCTTTTTGAGTCAGAGTCTCACTTGTTGCCCAAGCTGGAGGGCAGTGGCACAATTATGCCTCATCACACCCGCGACCTGCTGAGATCAGGTGATCCTTCCACCTCAGCCTTCCAAGTAGCTGGAAATACAGGCACGTGCCACCATACCCAGCTAATTTTTTTATTTATTGTAGAAACAAGGTCTTACCAAGTTGCCCAGGCTGGTCTCAAACCCTTGGGCTCAGGTAGTCCTCTTGCTTTGGCCTCCCAAAGTTCTGGGAGGCATGAGCCACCACACCCTACCTGAAATTTTTTATTTAAAATAATATTTATTATTTCTAGAAAATCTTTTTGTGTGTGTATATGTTTTTTTTGAGTCTTCTTAAATACTTATGGTCTTTTTATTTTGGCTCAAATTGTTATTTACCTTTTCTAGCAGCTCTGTTTCATTAAGGTCTACCTTTTTTAAACTATGTTAGAGTTTGTCCATTCTCTGTCTTCTAGATCCACTTAAGATCATTCATATTTTCTTTTTGTTGTTCATTGAGTTTTAAGTTTAGCAATCCTGTAAGTGATAGAAGGTATAGTTATCTTTGTCCCTGTGACCCAGCAGCAGGGAGGTTGATGGTCCCTTGTTAGGGAACCAGGAGGAAGTCTCTCTGCTCTTAGTCTCCTCTGCTACAAAGGCTAGAGCTCTTCAAATCCCAAGGATTGAGTTGGTTTAACCCATGTGTTCAGGATCCCCTTAGCTCTTGTGGACCAGGATACTAGGTCACTGGCACAGGTTCTTTCTCCCTGGGGTTCAGGGATCTCTCTGGTCCATGTACTCCCTAACTCTGGTTCCCAAATTTTCATCTGTTCCAAAAAGGAGAAAATCTTATACCAACTCTAGAATCTGACAGAGCTTGAGCCTTCACTCATACCCTGTATACCCCTCCTACTTATCCCCCTACAAGTGCATTGGAATTGAGAGAGGAGAGGAGCAGGGTCACATTCTTGCTACCATTCGCCCATGACATGGATCTATCATGTTTATATTGTAAGCTGGTTCACTTGGAAGGAACCAAAATAGCTTACCAGCTTTTCTTTTCCCTTACTATTGGGTCTTTATAGTGAGCACCAATGATTAGCCAAGTTTTTACCTAAGCAGAGGTGAATGAGAATTCTTTCCTTTTTTGAGTTTGGACAGTATCTTACACATATAACTATGATGACAACTGAATTGACTGCTGTAGTCAGCTACTTTTGTTTCCTTTGACAGGAAAGCAGCAACGACTCATCTCCACTAGGGTTTGTAAATGCCAAAAGGACAGACTCCCATTCAGAACACTTCAATCTTTCCTCAAAGTGGCTAGAAGCTTATCAGCATGAATCAGATGAGCAGCCTCTAGATCCAGTTCCCCAAACCAGCTCTACTCCTGAGATATCTGAAGGGGGAATAGACCTACTCGATGATTATGTGGTTAAAACCATGATCCTTGTACCCTCTCCAGTTGGGCAGCAACAAGACATTGCATCTGAATCCCATTTAGATACCATGGCAGAGATAACTAGCATTTCTTTAGATGAACCTTCGAAGCCAGGAGATCTAGTGAGAAAGGAGATAGCAACCTGCATGGAAGATGGGTTTTCAGAAGTTGCTACTGCTATGTCTAAGAAGCCTACATTTCAAGATTCTCCATTCTCTCTCTCGGAGTATCCACCAAATCCCTGTTCTGAGCAAAAACTGTACTACTCCAAGGAAAGCCTGAGGGACAGTAGGACTGAAGCTGTACTTAAAGACTTAGTACCTTCTGAAAGGAATGCCTTCTTGCCCTCCTCCATGCTCTGGCTTTCCCCTTCAGCTGCCTTGGTAACGGAGTTTCCTGTCAATCACATGGACCCAGAAGAGAAAATTGCAGCACATAAAGCTATGGAGGAAAGAGAAATGAGCTTTCCCACAACTCCTGAGGAGACTACATTGGAAGATCAAGCACTTGTCTCAAATGTAGAGGATATTCTGGCCACATGCCCGATACTAAATCCAATAGAAATGGAATCTCAGGAAGCTCCAGGTCCAGCAGTTGAAGATGTTGGTAGGATTCTTGGCTCCGAAACAGAGCCTTGGATGTCTCCACTGACCTGGCTGGAAAAAGGTGTAAATACCTCAGTCATGCTGGAAAATCTCCGCCAAAGCTTATCCCTTCCCTCTGTGCTTCGGGATGCTGCAGCTGGCACTACTCCTTTCTCTACTTGCTCGGTGGGTACTTGGTTTACTCCCCCAGCACCACAGGAAAAGAATACAAACACATCCCAGACTGGCCCAGGCAGCACCAAGGACCGTATTTCTGAGAGAGAGCACTTCCTTTGTGGGTATGTATCCCTATGTCATTGTGCCTCATGAGCTCCATCATCCTGGACCCACCACTGCCATCCCTTTCCCTCTCTTTCCTTTCTTCATGTTCTTCTCTTTCTTTGCAGCCGGCCTCCAGATCTGACTGCCTTGTCTCGACATGACTTGGAAGATAACCTGCTGAGCTCTCTTGTCATTCTAGAGGTTCTCTCCCACCAGCTTCAGGACTGGAAGAGCCGGCTGACTGTCCCTCACCTAGAAACTCAGGACAGTAGCACACAGACTGATACCTCTTCCATTGGGGTAAGACTTTTCTTCCCAAAGCTTGAGGGATCTCATAGGCTGCCTTTAGAATTTAAGCTAATCAGCTACCAGAGGGTAAAGGGGATTTCTTAATCACAGGCTTGTTTTTAGAATATGTGTAAAAACTGGTCAGGCACAATGGCTTACACTTATAATCCCAGCACTTTAAGAGGCCAAGGTGAGGGATTGCCTGAGTCCATGGGTTCAAGACCAGCCTGAGCAACTTGGCGAGACTTTATCTCTACAATAAATCAAAAAATTAGCCAGGTATGGTAGCGCATGCCTGTAGTCACAGCTATTTGGGAGGCTGAGGTGGAAGGATTGCCTGAACCCAGCAGGCTGAGGCTGCAGTGACCATGAGCACGCCACTGCACTCCAGCCTGGGTGACAGAGTGAGACTCTGACTCAAAAAAAAAAAAAAAATGCGTAAAAGCTGAAAATCTGGAAAATCCCTTGAAGCTGTGGGCACTCACTATACCCCTGGAGTGCAGGTAAGGAAAATTTTAAAGAAATTGATTGTAGATCTTCATTTTTCAAATGTCCTTTTTTTTGTTTGTTTGTTTATTTTGTTTTTTGGAGACAGGGTCTTGTCCTGTTGCTCAGACTGGAATGCAGTGGTGCAATCATAGCTCACTGCAACCTTGAACTCCTGGGCTCAAGCAATCCTCCTGCCTCAGCCTCCTAAGTAGCTAGGGCTACAGGTGTGTGCCACCATGCCTGACTAATTTAATTTTTTGCATAGAACTGGAGTCTCGCTATGTTGCCCTGCTGGTCTCAAACTCCTGACTTCAAGCGATCCTGCTACCTGACTTCAAACGATCCTGCTGCCTCCCAAAGTGCTAGGATTATAGATGTCAGCTACCACACCTAGCCCAGATGTACTCTTTACTTACTTAATTTTTTTCTTTTCTACTTCCCCATTCTCAACTGCCTGTGCCCACTTTACTAAAGAAGAACGTACTTACTACCTATCCAGAATCTTCCATGTCAGGGGATAGCAATCAAAGGACAATAGAAAATACTTGTGTACATGCTGAGAAAGTAAATGTCTGCAATAATTATATACCACCTCATTTTTACACGTTCTCAACAAAATTGGAGGAAGACTAATTATCTTTAACTATGTCAGTGGACCATTAAAAGTTTTGATGAATGTTCCCTAAGATTTTTGGCATGTATCTCCAAAGGGTTTTCTAGAACTGGATGACAGGCCCTCCCTGCCTTCTATTCTTATTTATTCCCATTATTTATCTGAAGATTTCTTTGTGCTTACATCTATTAGAATGGAAAAGAGTCATGAATTGTTGCTGAACCATGTCTTACTGTAGGAAATACAGTAATCCACAGATACATGAACTGATAAGGGAAGGGAAGCTCCATCCACTTCATTAATAAGTAATTCTTGGCTGGTGTGGTGGCTCATGTCTGTAATCCCAGCACTTTGGGAGGCTGAGGCAAGAGTATTACATGAGCCTGGGATTTCAAGACCAGCCTGGGCAACATGGTGAGACCTCGTCTCTACAATGAATAAAAAAATTAGCCAGGCATGGTGATGTGTGCCTGTAATCCTTGTTGCTTAGAAGACTGAGGTAGAAGGATCACCTGAGCCCAGAAGGTCAAGGTGGCTGTGATTGTGCCATGGCACTCCAGCCTGGGTGACAGAGTGAGACTCTGACCTAAAAAAAAGAAAAAGAAAAGTGATTCCTAATAAAATTTGGATATGTTTATACTTTTATTTAAAATTATAGTACTGGCGGGGCATAGTGTCTCAGCCTATAATCCCAGCACTTTGGAAGGCCGAGGCAAGAGGATTGCCTGAAGCCAGGGGTTTGAGACTGGGCAACTTGGTGAGACCTCATCTCTACAATAAATCACAAAAAAAAAACTAGCCAGGCATGATGACGTGTGTCTATAGTTCTAGGGACTTGGAAGGCTGAGGCGGAAGGATTGCCCAAGCCCAGCAGGTTAAGGCTGCGGTGGCTGTGAATGTGCCACTGCACTCCAGCCTGGTCGACAAGAGTGAGACTTCAACTAAAAAAAAAAAAAAATTACAGTACTATTATAATGATTTGCATATAACTGATGAAAATATTTCTCCACCAAGAAGAAAAATTTTGGCCAGGCACAGTGGCTCAGCCTGTAATCCCAGCACACTTTGGGAGGCCAAGGCAAGAGGATTGCCTGATCCTGGGGGTTCAAGACCAGCCTGGGCAACTTGATGAGACCTCGTCTCTAGAATAAATCACACAAAAAAACCAGCTGGGCATGGTGGCATGCATCTGTAGTTCCAGCTACTTGGAAGGCTGAGATGGAAGGATCGTCTAAGCCCAGCAGGTCGAGGCTGCGGCGGCCATGAGCATGCCACTGTACTCCAGCCTGGGTGACAAGAGTGAGACTCCAACTCAAAAAGAAGAAAAAAAAGAAAGTTTTTTCACTTAAAGTCTTGTGGTCAAAGGATTTTAAAATAAATTTAAATTTAGTTGTTCTTTTGTTGCTGTTGCAGAGATATTGGTTAATAACAGACTTTAAAGTATAAGAATAGGCTGGGCATGGTGGCTCATGCCTATGATCCCACACTTTGGGAGCCCAAGATAGGAGGATTGTTTGAGGCCAGGAGTTTGAGACTAGCCTGGGCTACAGAGTGAGACTGCACTTCTACAAAAAATATACAAATTAGCCGGGCATGGGAGTGTGCCTGTAGTCTCAGCTACTCGGGAGGCTGAGGTGGGAGGGCCCCTTGAGTCTTGGAATTTAAGGCTGCAGTGAGTTGTGATAGTACCATTGCACTCTAGCCTGCATGACATAGTGAGGCACTATCTCTAAAAAAATAAAAATAATAAAGTATAAAAATATATTATGATGAACGTCTAAGAAGAATAAAAACTATATGTTCAAGGAGAAAAAGAGATGATATAAAATTTCTGACTGTTAAAGATCTTTTGTTTGTATT